CCCTCCCTCCCTCCCTTCCTTCCTTCCTTCCTTCCTTCCTTCCTTCCTTCCTTCCTTCTTTCCTTCCTTCCCTCTCTCTCTCCTTTTTTTTTGAGTATATAAGTATTTTGTTGCTCTGGCACATAACTTTTGTTATTGTTGTTTGTTTTACGGTTGTTGTGTTTCTAGGCAGCATCTTACCATGTTATCTCAAACTGTCCTTGAACTCACTTTGCTTCATACTGGCATCAAACTTCTGTACTCAACTGATTCTCCCTACCTCATCCTAAGTAATGGAAACTATAGGCATCTGCCACTGAACCCTGTATATTTGTACCATTTCACAATCTCACCAGTAGTATTTGAGGGTTCTATTTCTCTTCACATCCTCCTTATTGTTTATTATTCCTAGTGCTTTAAGAAGTTTTACATTGTGATTTTGATTTGTCTGATTGCTAGTATTATTGATTATGCTTTTATATACTTGCCATTTTTTAATCTTTCTATAAATGTTTACTGAGATCTTTTGTTTTTTTAAATTTTGTGGGTTTTCTTTTTTTTCTTTTGCCTGTTAATGGGGCTTGAACTCAAGGCCTGGGCACTGTCCCTGAGCTGCTTTTGCTCAAGGCTAGCATTCTACCACTTGAGCCACAGCACCACTTCTGGCTTTTTCTGTTTATGTGTACTAAGGAATGGAATCCAGTGCTTCGTGCATGCTAGGCAAGCATTCTGCCACTAAACCACATTCCCAGATTGTTGTCTTTTTTATTACAGAATTCCATCTAGATGTTAAAAATTAAAGACAAGATTATCTGATGTAGTGGCTGCTGGTGGCTCATGCCTATAATCCTACCTACTCAGGAGGCTGAGATTTGAGAGTTACAATTCAAAGCCAGCCCCAATAAGTCCATAAAAGTCTTTATGATTAGCTCTAGCTTTAGTATTCACCCAGTATTACCCTATTTGTCATCACACATGCGTACACACACATCCCTGGATTCATGATTTTTAAATTGATGTAGGAGTTCTAACTAGACCGTTCCAGGCTGCTGAAGCACAATAATTTGATGCTAAAGAGGATCAAAGCATACTTGACCATAGGTTAAGCTTTCTTGTGTCTATCTGACTGGCTTGAACACAGAGCCTTCCACACTCACCTAAGCTCAAGGCTGGCACTCTACCACTTGAGCCACAATTCCACTTGCAGCTTTTTGGTTGTTAATTAACAACCAAAGATTCCATAGACTTTCCTGCCTGGACTGGCTTTGGATTGCAGTCCTCAGATGTCAGCCTCCTGAGTAGGGAGGATTACAGGTATGAGTCACCCATGCTAGGTCTAGGTAAAGCTTTGAATGGGAACTTTGAAGATCTTCTGATAGCATGGGATGGAAAAAAATGATGTCTTTGGGGAAAGATAAGAATAGAGGATTTGAGAGAAAGTTGACATGTTTCTTAGCTTAATAAATAGAAGAAAGACAACTAATTATTTGTTGTCACCTCAAACACAAGTTGGAGACATAGGCAGATGATAAGATATTAAAAGAGATATCTACCATGCTGCAAAGAACATTCCTAACATTTTATTTCTTTGAGGCTTGATTTTGGGGTCTGTGGTTTCCAGTGCAAGAAGGCATTTTTTTTTTCTGGAGTAGCAACAGAAGTGTATGAAAGATGTAGATACTTTAAATTTCAGTTGTCTTTGTATACTATAACTTTGATAAGTCCATGAGAAACACTATCTCCAAGGAAAACTGTAGTCCTCACCTTTGAGGAGCTCTGGTCCCATGGGCTTTTCTGCTTTATCTTACCTCTAAAACATTTGAGTCTTTGCACTCTTTATGTTTGATCGCTCTCCTAGTGAGTTTATACTTGGCCTTTGTGTTGAGCTTTATACAATTTCACAACCCAGTCAAGCATAGTCACAAACTTAATTTTTTGGTGTTGTTTTAGGTTGTAGTTCCCCCGCTCCCCGGGAAAGCATTTTTGCGTCAACTTCCTTTTAGAGGAGATGATGGAATATTTGATGACAATTTTATTGAGGAAAGGAAACAAGGACTGGAGCAATTTATTAACAAGTAAGTGCTTTCTAGTCTTCAAAAAGGTGAGATGAACAGTGTTTTGAGACATTGTGTCTAGTAGAAATTTAGATGTTTAGCTAAACTGCAGTATTACCTTGCCTTTCAGCCATTTTCTACCGTTTTCTAACTTTCTAACAAAGTGTGAAAGTATTTAACAAGTTGAATACCATGTGATAAATATTAACACACTTGAGTGATTGAAATGAGTAGCTTCTTGTTGACCTAAGTTTCATATTGGTTTTTCTTGGCTAATTTATGCAAATTACACGTAAAATTACAGTATTTTAAAAAATAGTTTTACTTATGAGTCTCTCTGATTTAAGGTATGTTCTAGCAATAAAATGTACAATGCATTTGCAATCATTTCGTTTGATTGCAGTGGAGATACTATCGGCACATTTTATGTAAAGCTGTACTTTTTTGTCTTCATAGCAATTTTTTTTTTTAATGTAAGAAGATCTATCAAGCCAGTATTTCTAGCTTTTAATTTTGGTTGCATTTGAGATTGCATTTTTGGTTTGGTTTTGGTATACTGGACTTTGGGGCTTGAACCTCAGGGTCTTGTGCACCATCCATGAGCTGCTTTTGCTCACGGCTAGCACTCTACCACTTGAGCCACAGCTCCACTTCCAGGTTTCTTGTTTTGTTTTGTTTTGGTGGTTTAGTGGAAATAAGAATCTCACAGACTTCCTTGCTCATGTCAGCTTCGAACTCAGATCTCAGCCTCCTGAATAGCTAAAATTATAGGCTGGGATACTGTTTTGTTTTCTTTTTATTTTTCATTTTCATTTAAATAAAATCTTTATTTTTCTGTGCTCCAGAGGTATCCAAGGAGGGTTGTAATTTAATGTGTCCACCTAAGTGTCCAGTGCTTCTTGATCAGAGTCTCATCATTCTCCATCCCAGTTGACTCCTCCCCCTAGACTCATTTCACAATTCCCATTTCCTTTATCAAATTAATTTTAATTCTTAAGAGACAGGGTTTTGCTGGTTGCCTAGACTGGCCTTGAACTGCTGGGTTAAAGGGATCCTCATTCCTCAGCTTCCTGAAGTAGCTGGGATTACATATGTGTGCCACTCTGTACCCAGCTCAAGTTCACTTATTTTCAAAAGCCAAAGTAGTAGAAGAGAATTATGTTAAGTAGTGTCATACTGTAATTATGTATTGGCCTTAAAATTTCACCAGGGAAATCAAATCCTTTGAAAATACAGCTTATATATTAATATTAAGCTTATATATTAATCTTTAGTAATTTGAAAATCTTGAAGAGGTTATCAGAGTATGCAACCTTCAGTTTGCTTTTTTTTTTTTTTTGGTCCGGTTGTGGGGCCTGAACTCTAGACCTGGGTGCTGTCCCTCTGCTCTTCAGCTCAAGGCTAGGGCTCTACCACTTGAGCCACAGTGCCACTTCCAGTTTTTTCTTTTTGCTTATGTGGTGCTTAGGAATCGAACCCAGGGCCTCATACATGCAAGGCAAGCACTCTACCACTGAGCCACCTTCCCAGCCCTGTTTTGTTTTTTTTTTAATGAACACTGACTTATGGGAGGCTTTAATGTTATACTAGGTGTTTGGGGTTTTTTTTTTGTTTTTGTTTTTTTGTAGGTTGTAGGGCATGAACTCAGGGCCTGGGCGCTGTCCCGTAGCCTTTTTGTGCTCAAGGCTAGTGCTCTACCACTTGAGCCATAGTGGCACTTTTGATTTTTGAGAGGGTAATTGGAGATAAGGGTCTCACTGGGACTTTTCTGTCCCTGGCTAGCTTCGAACTGTGATCCTCAGATCTCAGCCTCCTGAGTATCTAGGATTACAGGTATGAGCCATAGGTGTCTGGCTTATACTAAATGTTTTTTTTTTTTTGAAAGTTGTTGGATCCATTTATTTCTCTGCTGTATTTTTCCTCTATGTAACAATTCTTTTTTTAATTTAATTTTATTTTATTTGTGAACATACTGTACAGAGGTTATACTAAATGTTTTTACCTTCTGAAATAGAAGTCTGGCTGCACAGTAGTTTGCATTAGCCTATGATGGAAATCTTTAAAAAGTCAGCAAGAAAGGAGAAAACCTGGATATTTACAAATGTGCTTCCTATATTTCTCACTCCCACATCTTTTGTTCTGTTTTGTTTTTGAGACAGAGTCTTGTTATGTGGGCCAAACACATAGTACCACAGAGGGCTTGAATTCTATATCTTTTTTTTTTTTTGTCAGTCGTGGGGCTTGAACTCTGGGCCTGAACGCTGTCCCTCAGCTCTTCAGCTCAAGGCAAGTGCTCAACTGCTTGAGCCCAGCGCCACTTCTGATTTTCTAGTGGTTTATTGGAGATAAGAGTATCATGGAGTTTCCTGCCCGGGCTGTCTTTGAACCGCGACCCTCAGATCTCAACCTCCTGAGTAGCTAGGATTACAGGCATGAGCCACCAGCGCCTGTGAATTCTACATCTTTAAAATGGATTCTTAGAATCTAGCAGCATATTGTTACTTTTAACCCTAAGGTTCATTTTACGTGTCTTATGAATACACCAGCTGTAGTTAAACTAATTGGATACAGATACCAGAAGCACTAAAAAGTAACCTGGCATGAATTTTCTTTTTCCAGTACTGGGTGAAATGTTTTTTAAATCACTCTTATGAATCAAAAGAAAGGGAATATACCATTAGTTGACAAAGTATAGTTTATGTGGTAGTCCTGAATGATTTTTAGTAAGTAATATATATTTTTTTGTATCATAATTCCTACCACCATCACCTTTATAAAATATTGGACTAAATTTTTATTTTTTATTCCCAGGGTCGCTGGTCATCCTCTGGCACAGAATGAACGATGTCTTCACATGTTTTTACAGGATGAAATAATAGATAAAAGCTATACTCCATCTAAAATAAGACACGCCTGAAATTTGGCAGGAAGAGGCAAAAAAAAAAAAATCTGTGACCATTAATGATTTCATATGCACCAGTGAAGAAGTTCAAACTAACTTAGCATGCTGCACAGAAACTGGTATAACATGCCTTTGGTATACTAACACTCATATGCTCAGTTTTATTCTGTTTTGTTTGGGCCGTTGACAAGAAGTTAATTTGCTTTAGTGAAAATCCCTCACTCTAGCCTTTCTCTATAAAAGGTCTTGCTGTCTTCCTGCGGTGCACACTGTAGCCTCACAAATCGTCCCAGTGTAATCTTTGGTGTCCTGACTAAAGTTGCTGACTTCGTCTTATTTGCCCAGATTTTGTGTCATGGTTGCTTCTTGAATCTGATTAACTCAAATATTTCTCTTTCCCCTCTCAATATGTAATGTCACTTGATCTGATTTATGTGTAGGAGCACTACACCTGCGTTTCCAGTGCTGCACATGTAAGATACACATTGTGTGCAGAACATATCTTCCTCCTGGCCTGTACTTCCCTTCACATGGAAGATTAAAGAGGGAAATCTTTATATTCTGTATAAAAACAAAATCAAATTTATATACTAAGATCATTTGTCTAAAAATTTAAGTTGTTTTCAAATAAAAATATAAATGCATTTCTGATATGCACTGATTGTGTTGCCTCCAGCTTTTCTTTTCTCCCTTGTGGCTTTACTGCTTAACTCACTAGTTGAGAAGGATTATTTACTAATTATATACTTCTCATTGCTGTAACTCCATTCCTTTTTAAACAGTGCTGATATCAAATATGCTACCACCTTTTGAATGAGGCATTTTCTTTTACACAACAAAAAAAGTGATGCACTGAAAAAGCATTCCTTTAAAGCTTATTGGGTTGTTAGGAAGGACTTTGTGTGTTTGAGAAATGCTTTATAATCTTAAGTCATTCTTTAAAAGGCCTTTTAAGATAAGTCAATATCATGCCTCCTATTTCTCAAAAGAATTTTTCTCCTAGTCCATCTGAATGACTTTAAACTCAGCAAGGGTATAATAAGTCAGCAGATGCTTGCTTTCTCTTTAATTAGGCTTGGGCTAGTGGCACATTTTATCCTCTTTAAGGTAGAAAGGGCATAGCGTTATAGTCTGACTTATATAAAGGATAAGAGATCAGAAAATACACAATCCCTTGCTGCCTAATTTATATTGTGGCCAGGCCTTTGCATGTCTGGAATGTGGTTTCTAATTGGAGCCTGCCCAAACTCTGATAGTTTGGGACCCATTGTGACCTTTAGTTAAATCCCAAGATAAAGAAAGTTGTCCTCCCATCCCAGAGCCTTCTCTAGAGATAAGTCAGTGTTTGGAGGGTTGGTTGGTTTGGTTTGTGCTTTTCGTGGGGCTTGAACTCAGGGCCTATGCACTGTTCCTAAGCGTTTAGCACAAGGCTAGTGCCCTACCACTTGAGCCAAGCTCCATTTCCAGCTTTTTGGTGATGAATTGGAGATGAGTCTCACAGATTTTTCTATCCAAGCTGGCTTCACACTGTGGTCCTCAGATCTCAGCCTCCTGAGAAGCTAGGATTACAGACCTGCTAAGCCTGTTTGTTGATTTTTTTTTTTTTTAAGACAGAAACTCACTGTATAGCAAGCCTAACTGAAACTCAGGATTCTCTTGCCTAAGGTTTTCCAAGTGCTGAGATCAAAAGCATGAACCACCACACTGGCTAGAGTCAGTTCATTTGAGGTTTTGGTCAAATGATTTTCTCTTTGGTCCAAACAGAGGAAGTCAGAGCTGCTATGAAAGGCCATTATTCAAACAGTGTTTCACAATTTTATATACTGATTAGTAACTCTGAGAAGGTATAAAACAACTGGGTGTTGGGAGCTGGGAAGGTGGCTCAGTGGTAGAACGCTTGCCTTGCATGCCTGAGGCCCTGGGTTCGATTCCTTAGCACCACATAAGCAAAAAGAAAAAAGCCGGAAGTGGTGCTGTGGCTCCTGTGGTAGAGCGCTAGCCTTGAGCTGAAAAGCTGAGGGACAGCGCCCAGGCCCATAGTTCAGGCCCCAGGACTGGATCCCCAAAAAACAACAACAACAACAAAACAACTGGGTGTTGTGGCACATGGCTGTGATCCCAATACTCAGGAGGTAGAGGTGAGAGGCCCCAGAGTTTGAAACCAGGAAGTGGTGGTGTGACTCAAGTGGTAGAGCACTACCTTGAGCACAAAGAAGCTCAGGGATAATGCCCAGAACCAGCAAAGAAAAAAAAGGAAGCTAGCCTATCTCAAACAAGTCTAGGGGAATATAAATCTTTTTTGTTGCTGTTGGTCACAAGGCTTGAACTGAAGGCTGGGGGGCTGTCTCTGAGCTCTTTTCGCTTAAGGTTAGCACTCGACCACTTTGAGCCATATCTCCACCGGTTTTCTGATGGTTAATTGGAGAGAAAAGTCTCACAGTTTTCCTGCTCCAGCTGGCTTTGAACTTCGATCCTCACATCTCAGCCCTCAGCCTCCTTAGTAGCTAAGATTACAAGCATGAGCCACCAGCGCCCAGTGGGAATCTATATCTTAACAACATGTAAATTTATTTCAGTGAGCTAGAGAAGTAAATTCGCTTGCAAGGCTATCAGTTTTTATGTACAGAATGGAGTAATAGCAGTAGTGTTAAATTGAGTAATTCCTGTAAAACTACTTCTCACCCAGGGATGATTTTGCCTTCCAATGGAAATTCAAGCAGTTTCTGGAGATGTTACTTTGTCACAAATGGGGAATGCTACTGGAATCTAACAGGTAAAAGTCAGTGGTGCAGCCAAATGTTCTGCAGTGCGCAGGCAGCCTCCCACGACAGGGAAACATCAGTAGTACTGAGATTGCTCCTCACCATTAGGTTCACTTAATTTTGATCCTTATAGGTAAGGGAGTAATGTGATTTAGAATGAATTTCACTGCCTTACTTTTTTTGTTGTTGTTGGTTGTGGGGGTTGAACTCTGGGCCTGGACGCTGTCCTTCAGCTTTTCAGCTCAAGGTTAGCACCCTACCACTTGAGCCACAGCACCACTTCTGGCTTTTTTCTGCTTATGTGGTGCTGAGGAATCGAACCCAGGACCTCATGCATGCGAGGCAAGCATTCTACCACTGAGCCAATTTCCAGCCCGAGCCTTGCTTACTTTTAATTAGCCTACCACAGTTTACTAAAGGAATAGACATACTCTATAAAAATGAAAAAAAAATTTAAATGCAATATATTGCTTGTTCTAGGTAAATTTTTTTTGCCTAATGTAGGAAGATAATTTGCCAATGCTTTTCTTAGGGATCTGAGTCCATGATCTAGTAAACTACACCTTTAACCCTAGGAAATAAAAATGGAGATGGTGTTGAATTTTAGCAAACAGGAAAGGGTTCTGACTTGAAGGTGTTGAAGATTAAACATAAAATTCATAGAACAGTGTCTGGCATCTGTAAATGCGTCATGGTTTTCTAGGGGTAGTTTTACCTAGTAGCAGTTAAACACAGTAAGTGGCTGCTTGCCTGTTAATCCTAGAAGTTCTGACATAGGTTTGCCCACCATTTGGTCTCCTGCTTGGACATTGTACCACATCTTCCATGTACCCCTCAATTGTGTTTGTGACCTGAGGGCTGGGAACGGAGGGATTAGGGGAGGAGAATCTTTTTACTTCATCCAGTAACTTCAGGTTGACCCTTTTGATACGGCACATTGGAGAGAAAGTCCTCTCCCATTCTGAAGGAATGAATAAGTAGGCCCAATGAAAAGATAAATAAAAATATGTACTGGAGCTTGCCTTGCATGCATGAGGCCCTGGGTTCGATTCCTCAGCACCACATAAGCAGAAAAAGCTGGAAGTGGCGCTGTGGCCCACGTGGTAGAGCGCTAGCCTTGAGCTGAAGAGCTGAGGGAAAACACACACACACACACACACACACTCTGGAGCTTTGGATGAACAGGTCTTAGCACACTGCCTTTAGATTACCTGCTGGTTGGGTGCTAGTGGTGATTATAGTACATAGTATAATACATAAGTATTTGCTCTAGATAGAGTTTAGAACTATTTAAGAACAGAGTATTGGAGTATTGTCAACCTTAAGGACCCACTGTCATCTATGAAGTAGGTGGTATTTTGTTTTACAGATGAAAAGAGAGGCTCTAAAAGCTTGAGAAATGTGCGTTGCACATAGATCATGAACCGAGAAGAGTAAGTTTTCAGTAGCACTTTCTATGTTATCTAGCATGAATAAATGGAGACATTTTGTTTTGCTTTTAAGTTTGGATGCAGGTTGTTCTTTTGGATACAAAAGAACTTACTGGAAGTAATACCTTGTCTTCCTGAACATGACACAATTACATTCTAAAGACAGAGTCAATTACCTTTCTGTTTAAAGCTTCCCAAGTAATTCTGAAACAGGTTTGGACACTGAACAGAGTGGCCATTTGATTTCCTACAATTTGATCAGTCAATTTTTACTTAACTTACTACATGAGTCTTTACAAAAAGAAATCAGGAAACAGGAAAAAGTTTTATCAAATCTTGAGGAATAACTTCTGCTTATTTTTTGTCTAGTACTGGGGTTTGAACTCAGGACCTTGTACTTGCTATGCTGGTGCTCTACCACTTGAGCTATGCCTCCAGCTCTGCTCTTTGCTGTTATTTTGGAGATGGAGTCTAGTGAACTTTTCTAGGTAGAGTTGGGTTGGCCTCGAACCACCATCCTCCTGATCTCAGCTTCTGAATAGGATTACAGGCATGAGCTACTGGCACCTGACACTTTTATTAATCTGGGTTTACATTAAGTGAAATTTCCTAACTTCACTATTATTCTAACCTTGCAAAGATAATAAGACCTTGATTTGGAAGCTAGGGAAATTCTTGGAAAAATACAAAAGGAAGTTCAGAGATGCTCTTCACTGCCAATAAGTGGAATGCATAGAACTAACCCACTAAACTCAAGCGGCACCACTATTAGACACTTAGGCATGCAAAGTGCCAGTGTGCAAGTAGGTTAAATACAACCCTTTTCACAAGTTCCATCTTTTGGGATTGCCACAAAAAAGACTCACTGTAGTACCACCAGAGTAGACATGGTAAATAGAAGAGCAGGAAGGGACAGGGAAGTTCAGATAGAAGGGAATGGCTTTTCAGAGGCAAGGAAAGAGTCCTGTTTTTGCTTCTACATATAAGGAGCTTGAAAGTTGGTGGATTGGGGTGGTTTGGGGTAGTTCCAGTAGAGCACTTGCTTAGCATGTATGAGACACTGAGTTTGGGCCTTTGCACAGAAAGGTGGGAGGGAAGGGGAAGACCAGAGCAAAATCAGTGACACTTCTTGGTCCCATCAGAATAGAGATTGTAAGGCAAACTACCACCTCAAAGTCTGGAGGGATATGCTCATCTAGAGATCCCCGAAATCGGCTTACTGGGAGAACCCCAGAGACACAACCTGGTTAGGAACATACCATAGTAATGTACCTTGGCTGCAGGCCATGTAGACTAGCATGAGAGTAAGAAATTCCTGAGCATTGTAGTCTTAGAGGAGTCCTTATGTGTTCATGGACTTTACCTCTAGGATCCCCTCCAGATTCTCACAGTAAAGATCTAGAGCAATCCCCTTGAGATTGTAACAAGGAAATACACCAAATAATCTTTGTGAAATACTGGCCAG